TCCACAAGCTTTGTGCCATGATTATATCTTGTAGGCAGGATTCCATTGTCAACCAGAGGGTTTCTGGCTGAGTTGTTGCTTACATTTCTCTTTTGGTATTCTATCGAGTATCTTCCTGTACCAAAAGTGCTAGAACATAAAGGTGAAAGCTCTGTGTAGGCACCAGCTCGACTTTGGCATGTTCAGTTGAATTGTGTAGCTGTTGTCTTCAGCAATATAGCCTTGCTCTCAGTTTGTGGAGAACAACCCATTGCCTTGGCTTGTTCGGAGTTTCCCGTGGCACCTCTAAGCCAACAACTCAGTTAGGTGTAACCCAATCCCAGCACTGGACGTTTCATTTGGTGACAAGAGATGGACCAAACTGTTTTAATTTTATGAACTCATTTTACAAAGGTGCTTACCAATTAATAAAAATATAGTAGTATGTATTTGTAGCCACAGGAACTGGTCAATTGCATCTATAGATATAAACTTTTATAGTTTGTAAATTATTATATATCATAACATTGAATGTGTATACTGTATAGTGTGTAATTTGTACACATACTTAAATTATATAAGCTGAATTAAAATACTTAGATTACTTTGTACACTGGGTTTTGAAATATCTTTAAAATGAGAATTGTATTCTAAAAATTGTCTATATTGTTACTTAAAATACTTTTCAAGCAAGGAAATTTATTATCCTAAAAACACAATTCAGTGTTTGTCATATATGAACACTTTCTGTAAGTTTAATAGTGTGTGTGTGTGTGTGTGTGTGTGTGTGTGTGTATCTGTCTATCTATCTGTGTGAATGCAAATCTGTGCATTTTTGTTTTACTTACTGCTACTTATCTGACAACTTGTTTCTCAAATTAGAATAAGAACTGAAAACATCATATTAAACTCTCTTGCACCCTCTGTTGTTATTTTGGGAGAACACTACACATAGGTTCCAAGATTTTTATTGTCATTACACTTATTTCTTTTCCTTTTAAAATTAGTGCTTACTCTACTACATTTAAAGGCAAATTAGAATCAGCCTTATAGTACATTTGTTTGGAGTTTTCATTTGGTGTTTTCTCAGTCTGTAGCTGTGCTATTAGCATGTCCCAGTTTAAATGGAGGATGAGCTTTCTGTTGTCTGTGATTTCTCCTCCAAATAAAAATTCCTACAGGACATAACATACTGCATGTACAATTTTCTAGAATTACAAACTCTATGTCTTTTGTTTTGTTTTGTAAACCTTTCAAATGTCAGGTCTCCTCCAATATAAGAATCTAAAGACATGTATACTAAAACTAAGAATCTATAACTATAAGGAACAGATGTTTTCATAAACATTTGCTATAATTATTCAACTATAGGATTGAAAGAATAAAGCAGTTTTTCCCACTTCAAAACTTCATTGCCTTTTCCTCATATAACAAACTCTGAAATCTTTTCACAAATATCACCAGTGAAATAGTTCAACCCTGTATTTGATATGTTTTTGAGAAGGAAAAATTGCTTTTTGTTTTCCTAATACATTCTTTTGCATCTTGAAAATTATAGTTAATAGGGCATTTTCAAGGGTAACAATCACAAACTATAGAAAACTTTTGCCACATTTTTGATAAAACATGGCTATTAAAAGAAAAAAAAAAAGCCAGACATGGTGTTGTAAGCTTTTTAACCCAGCAGAGGAGGGTTAGCCAGTACCAGGCCAGCCAGAGCTCTATATAGAGACACTTAGAACTGGGACCCATGAGTCGGCTTTTTGGAGCCTAGTGCCTATGGTGGGGATACTTTGCACAGCCTTGGTGCTGGGAGGAGGGACTTGGACCTGCCTCAGCTGAATGTTCCAGGCACTGCTGACTCCCCATGGGAGACCTTGCCTTGGAGGAAGTGGGAATGGGGGTGGGGTTACTGGGGAAGGTTGGGGGGGTGGAAGGGGGAAGGAGAGGAGAATCTGTGGTTGGTATGTAAAATGAATAGAAAAATCTCTTAATAATAATAATAATAGTAATAATAATAATAATAGAAAACAAAACAAAAGCCCCACAACTTCTTTTTTGAATGAGTTTTTTTATATTTGATCTTAAAAATCCAGCTTAAGCCGGGCGGTGGTGGTGCACACCTTTAATCC